AATCATAATAGACTAATAGTAAATGTTGAAAATTTAACGACTACATACTATGATTGTAAATGTTCAGAGTTTAACGATTATACACTACGAATCCAATTAAACACACAATTGGAAGAAAAAAAATATGAATCGTTTTATCTCAAATTCTGAATCTGGTTTCAAGTTTTTGCATACCCATCGCATCCACAACCTCGTACGGTATCTGTGAATAATTGAGTGTTAAAAAAACTACACAAACTCGTAAAAAACTACACATGTTTTTAACTAAAAACTGAAAATATTTATAACAAAAAACTAAACAAATTTTATATATATAAAAACTGCACAAACTTTGTATAAAAAACTGCACAAATTATATAAAAAATTGCACATATTTTTAACATAAAATTACACAAACTACATAAAAAGCTGCACAAATTATATAAAAAAATTAATTATTTTTTTTAAGATAAATACCGGGTACCCGTTGGTTCCGGTTCAAGGTACCCGCCAGTTCCGGGTATCCGGTCCCGGTAGGTAACGGTTCTGAAAAATTGAGAACCGGAACCGGAACCATTCTCAATCGGTTCCGTATTTTAGGAACCAGAACTAGGGGTGTTCAAAAAAATCGTTGGACCGCACAAACTAGCCGAACCAAGTCAAACCGGACCGTTTTTGGCGGTTTGAGCGGTCTGGCGGTTGGGCGGTTTGGACCAAACCGACTGCCATACATATATATATATATATATATATATATATATATTATTTAATTATTTATTTTAATATTAGGAAGCCCAACTTTTTTTAATTTATGAACTATGGTTCAAATATATCACTAAGCCCAACATAAAGTCTAACATATAACATAATCAAAATGGATATTTAATCTAAAATTATAAATTATATATGTTTTTTTTAAGTTTAACATTTAAAGTCTACTAAAGGCTTAAACCGCCTAAACTGGTCAGACCATACCGTCTTTTCGTGGTCTAGTTTGACCGGTCTGGACATTTGATGTCAAACCGCTCAGTTTGAAAATTTTATAAACCGCCATTACGGTTTGTTTTGTGATCTGAGAGGTTAAACCGCCCAAATCGGACCGCGAACACCCCTAACCGGAACCACTCATATCGGTTCCGGTTCCGGAACCAGCAATTCCAAGGCAATTCCGGTTCTACAAATGGATACCCGGTTCCACTGCTCATCCCTTATATTTAAAAATAACCTAGGATTAAGGTAGGTGAATATCTACGACTACAAAGGTCTCTCTATCAATACCTAAATTTGAATCCTAAATAGATACGATTTTCCAGAGTTAACCAATGTGCTACAACCGAAGTGGTTTAATTTTTTTATTGTTATTTAAAAGAGAAGTAGTAATTTTTTGAATAAATAATTCTATTTTTGTCCTTTAATTTCAACTAAATTACAAGAATCGTCCAACTACTTTACCCAAACTTACGAATATTATCATTATTCGAGAAGAATTACACCAACGCCCCCAACGTTTTGCTTTCAGACAATTTCCAACTCGTAACTCTAAAAAGCATTTTCTAATCTATTTGGAACAGAAAAATGACTAAGGGGCCGTCTATCAAACGCTTATCTAGTAAGTGTTTACCGGGTAATTTTCTTTACCGAATGAACATGGTAAGGGTTTAGAATCTCACCCGATTAGAACGGTAAAAAGATGGAGAGTCTTATCCGGTAAGAGTGGTGAAAGGATGGAGAGTCTTACTCAGTAAGTGAGAACGAAGACTCTTACCAAGGTAAGCGCTTACCGGGTAAATTGTTGCATACTATATCGTTTTGATGCACTACAATCTTATCCAGAAAAATAAATTATAGTGTTAACTCATATCGGTAAGTGCTTACCGGGTAAGCATTTGAGTAAACGGCCCCTAAATCGAATGAAAAAAGAAAAAAATTAAGAAATGTAGAAATGCCATACCAGACCATTCCCGGGATTTTGTTGTAGTGATAGGTATCATGTCTTGCACATAATCGTTATAGATTGAACACGAAATGCAGCGTACAAAAGAGTATGTCATCTTGAAGGTATGATTCCAGCATTGGAGGCCTCTTATGTGTTGACGTATTTCGAGAAGCTTTGCCCTGCACTGCCTCACGGCGTTAGGGTTGTGGTTAACTGTAGTGGATCTAGGTACAACGATGCCCTCATGGTCTTCAACGTGTCGTAATCCAATCGATGAAAATGCATATGTGGCTTGCTGATATAAGATGGTGGAACTATCTTTACTATATTATAAAGCATTTGATAAAAACTTTTAAAAACCACTTTTTATGCGTAAAGTAGTGTTTATTAATGCATATTACTTAAAACTCAAGATTGAAAGTAGATTGTACGTAAGTACAACTTATTAAAGCTTCATATCTGAATTCATGCAACTAACTACAGATAAACATAATCAAATACAGGATAAACATCTTATTTTAAATATAAAAATCTAAAATATAATTAGAATGATTATTGAGTTTAACGGAATACTTAATTATTATCTTTATAAAATGTTATATTATTAAATCAAAAAAAAATTATTTCATTATTAAACTTAAATTAAATTATAATAAAAAAATAAATTAAAGAAATTACATAAAAAATGAAAATTTTTATATAGTTGATTTGATATTAACATTAATATATTTTTTTCAAATTTTTATGATATCTTCAAATTTATATTTTATTCAAAAATAAAATCATTATTATTTTCTTAAATACACATAAAATCATATTATAACATCGACAGAGACAAATAATAAAATAAAACATTAAAATCGAGATGTTTCTCGCTGCATTGTGTGAATACTCTTCTAGTTAATCCTAAAATGGATGTTAGTTGCATATGGTACAAAATGTCCAATAAACTTATTGTAACATTTTAAAATATCCTAAAAAACTTGTTAAAATGTCCAAAAACGTCCACTAATGTTATTGTAACATTTTTAAATTGGACTTTTTTTTGTTTGGTGATACAAACTTAACTCTCATAAAAAATGTGTGATAATCGGGTTTGTTAACAAAAAATTTGAGGGTTGTTTTGGATAAATGTTGTAAGTTGAGGGATTGTTTTAATAACTTCTTTAAGAAAAGTTGGTGAGTCTTCTAAGAGTTTTCTGGTTCGAATAAAAAACAGATGAAAAAGAAGAAGAAATTGTTGATAAGCATTCTTGACGGGATAATTTGTTGTTTATTATCCTCATCTCTTTGTGATTTAAGGTGAGGTTTTATTTTAACTCATCATTTGATTTGTGTTAAAACAGAACCGTATGGTTCCATATGTGGATGATTTGAAACTGATTATATGTTATTTTTAGCATAATTTTGTGTTTTGATATGTTATTATCAATTGATTGGAATAAGGGTGGCATAATCAGGAGATATGTATTATGAGATAAGAGTGGCATAATCAAGATATGCGTATTTTGGGATAAGTGTGGGATAATCAGAAGAGACGTATATTGGGATAAGGGTGGCAAAATCTTATGTATGTAAAAATGAGATTTTGATCATGAGGAATTGTTATCGCTTTTCATGATGCGATGAGTTTGATTTATCGCATCTATGTGATGCGATGAGATAATGTTATTGCATCCTTGAGGTGCGACAAAGGTATTTATCGCATCCTTGTGATGCGACAAGTTGTATTTATCGCATAAATGTGATGCGACAAGATTGGGTTATCGCGTCCTTGTGATGCGAGAAAGTGTATTATTGCATCTATATGATGCGACAAGATGATGTATATGATGCGATAAAATTGTGATCGCATCAATGAGATGTGACAAGTTGATATTTTTTATGTTTAATATGCGGTTTTATGCAAATACTGATTTGGGGTGTTACAAGATGTATTATGATACTTAAGACATTTTTGACGTGTTATAAACACGATTATGAACGTTGTAGAACTTTCTATTAAGTCTGCTAAAATGGTAACCGTCATGTCACTACTAGACAGATAACTTTTATCTACGGATCACTAAAAAAATAGTTTAAAGCTCGTCGGTAATCGAAAAACCCACAAAGTTAATATTTGAATGTGTAAGCAATTACTATTATTTTTAATATTTATTCTGCAATGGGTAACACTAAGGGGTCGCTTATACAAATTTTACCTAGTAAGCGCTTATTGGTAAAATTCAACATTATCACTTACTTACATGTAAGATTTTAGTTCACTAAAACGACATTGTATGCATCAATTTACCCGGTAAGCGCTAACCGTGGTAAGAGTCGTCGCCCTCACTTACCGGGTAAGACTCTTGGTCCTTGATGACAGTAAAATAAAATTTATAAAAAACATAAAATACAATAAATAAATTTTTAAGAATGAAAAAAATGTAAAAAGAAGACACGTTTGATGTCTTAGAAGAGAATTAAGTTTTATATTGGTAAAATATAAGTCTTTTCCACCACGTTCCATAGGATAGGAGTGGAACAAGTCTGCTCCACTTTGTTTCACATAAAAGTCATGTCAAACATATAACAGGAATCCATGTTTTTATCTGTTGTTTCATGTACAGTGTACCAAACGCACCCTAAAGGTATGAATTAATTCATGACTGAAAATAGCAATAAATTATAAACCATAAAAATGAAAATTACCGAAATCATAAGTTACTCTATAATGAATTATGAATTAAATTATTATAATAATATATGAAACAATCGTTTCATTAAATAAAAATATATATTTAAAGATGGAAATCAGTTAAGAAACGAAGATAACAACAAATTATAAATCATAGGGACAAAAATGGTTTAATCCGACAACGACCTCCATTCGCCCCTTCAAAGATTGTCCGTTTTAATTCGCTATATATGCATGCACTCGCTCGTCAATGCCATTGAATCGACACATTCACTTGGACGTTTCATTCAAAATTACTCGGTTGCCTTACACGTCAAAACCGAAATCGGAGGTCTTTTCATGCATCATCGCTAAGCATCACACGATACGTTGCACGCTCGCATACAATCGACAAGAACTCGTCCCATATATAAAATAACGTTTCATTCACATATGAATGACATAAAAACATGAAACCAAAATGTACGTAAACCAAAAGAAAGCCAATTTTTCATGGCATAAAGTAAATCCACAACCTAATAATTCAAGTTTTCAAAAAGAATACACCACAAGCCGCGGAGCGTTTGCAGCCAATAAAAACGGGATGTCATCGATCTTGTGCTCCATTCCGAAAACCGACAAACAGCTTCCTCCCTGCGAAGAACCGTAAGCAACAAGATGTATATATCTATAGGAAATTAACATAACCCTAAAAAGTTAACGAGAACCCGATTAGATGTTCCAAGATCTTATCGGTATTTCTTGCAAATCACAATGAAATCAAAGCATATTTGATAATTCGGATTCTGGGCTATGAGGATTAAAGAACGGAAAACGCTGCAAAAGAGTAGCTCAATCGTTTCCTGCATCAGGACGTGAATGGTACAAATCGTTTTATCCAACTATACATGTACAGGGTTCCGAGATATATGTAAGTAAAGGTGAGAAAATCGAGAGACTCGTTTCTAAGCTACAGAAATGGACCTAAAAGCTCGATTAAGAACCGCTAACTCCGTGTATGCTCTCTAATACATACCTGCAAAATCACAAGAATTTTGAAAAATGAGAACTTCTCCATTTGCAGGTAACTCATAAAGCTTAAGAAGATGACAACACCCTAAGTTACGAAAGTTGTGATATGTCAATTATGTTGTTACAAGTGTTTTAAATTCTACGAACCGAAATAAGTTCTATGAATAAACCGAGGACAAAAAGGCAACATTAGAAGTTATTTAATAAACCAAACAAACTCGGTAAATACCACACAGAGTAGAGTTGAGGAGGGTAAAACGTACGCAAACCTTTCATCAACCCCAAGGAGTAGAGAGGTGGTTTTCAAGAAGACTAAGGGCTCGTTTGGTTTGACGGAATGTCTTTTGAGGGATTTGGATTTCGTGGAAGGATTTGGAATCTTTAGCGTGTTTGATTTGTATGATTCAGAATGGATTGATTTCCATTCTTTATAGATAATTTACAAAAAAAAACTATAAATAATTATAAAAATAATTAAAATTACCTTCTATTAGTTGATTTTTACAAAGCAAATCTTTTTGACATATTTTAGAATATTATTGCAAACAAATCCTATGAAATCCCATAAAATACCAACTACCTATGGAATTCCTAAATCCAATGTTAGTGGGGATTTCAATTCCAGACCTTCCTATAAACTAAAAACCAGATTGGAATTCAATCCAATTCCAAATCCCACAAACCAAAGGGGCTCTTAAAAACTAAATGCAGCATGAACAAAATCATACAAAACCAGGAAAGAATTCATAAAGAAAACGTTATTGAGCAAAATGATACCATTTCATGCCAACAGGTTACAAGTTCTTTAGCATCGTATGCATAAAAAAGAGGCATGCAAGCAGGAATTATATCTTAAGATCCAACTCGTTTTCATAAAAACTAACATTTTCGGTTTGTGGGCACTTTTGAATGGTGTGAGTGTGTTAATGGGTCTCGATTAGTTGATGATGGGATGAAGGAAGATAGGGGCACACAAGAACTGCGGAAAATGATATAAACTATTCAAACCAAACCAAAACCAACAAGCCTGTTATATCCATCAGGAGGGGGGTCTGGGGGAAGATGTACGCAGACCTGACCTCTATCCAAAAAAGTAGAGCGATTGTTTCCTCAGGATGCGTTTGGTATACTGGAGAGGACAGAACAGGGACCAGTGTTCCACATCTCACAAGACTTCTATGTAGAACAGACAGGAACATAGTGGAACAAACCCTATACTTTACTAATATAACCTCAAAATAGAACATAATTCTCTTCTGAAACATCAAATAAGCCTCCCTCTTTACATTCTATTCATTCTTTAAATTCTATTTATTGTATTTTATGCTCTTTAAAACGTTCACTTTATTGTCCTCAAAATATTTATACAGTTTCTATATTTTGGTTAATTTTTTATGCAATTTATTAAATATTTTAATTATATAATAACATAGAAAAGGTAAAGTATATGGTGTCATTTTAATCATCTTGACGAAAACTTTCTAATGATATATTTTGTTGCAAAAATATTTATTTTACTATAATTTAATAAATTACATAAATTAATCAAAATATGTAAAAGATATAAACAACTCATTACAGGTAAATTGGTCATTATATTTGTTATTCATGTCCAGTTTTGTCTTGCCAAACACCGAACAGCTAATTTGTCCTGTCCAGCCCGTTTGGATACCAAATGCATCCTTACAAAGCCCTGGCTAGTGAAAGGTGTGTGAAAGGGAGAAAGGCCAAATATGTTTAACAAATGAAAAGCTAGAAAGAGAGAGACAAATATGCTAAATTTTGAGAGTACATACCCGTCCATTGTTGCCAAAATCATCGGGAGGGGCCACAGCAGACTCAGATCGGCATTTAGAATGAACTATTGGCCCAAGTTGAGATCTATCCATGCCTAAAACAGATCCCGTTGGAGCATTCATGTAGACCGCACCTCTATACATCCATTCTTCTGTTTCATCACTGTAAAAATCATCAAACGCCTCACCGCATAGTGCACAAACATTCTGATCTTCGTCCGCTGGAACAGCCATGTCTTCATCATCCTTCTTTTCAACAACATTTTCAGACGGATTAAGAAATCCCGGAACTGCATCAGCTCCCGATGCTTCTGTCCCACTAAGCCACATACTAGCATTAGGGAACCACTTCCGAGAAGGCTTTTGTTTATGATTTTTTGATACTCGATTTTTGGTGACGTGCCAATCCATATGATTGCTGTGTTCTTCTTGCAACTTAAATCGAAGACCGCAAGTTTTGCATTGCCGTGGAAGATCAGCATATAAAGCAGTTATTGCAGACTCGTGACGTGTCTTGAGAACATCTGGATCAAACTCAAGCCCAACACAGGCCTATGCATATAGAATTATATACAAGTAAGAACAATCTCTTGTTATGTAGAAAAAATCAAATATTAAGAGGTCATGAAGTAGTCTTTGTTACACCCTCTGACCCAAAATAGATGTCCACAATGAAAAAGGCACAAAGTCTTAGAAATGTGTAATTATTACACGTTTGAATTAACTAAATGACAATTTTACCCATAATAATAGAGAGTAATGAATTTCACAATCTCGTCACTAGGGGTAGAATTGAAAAGTAGGGACTTGCTTTTGAAAGTGGACACTTATTTTGGGACAACCTAGAATAGAAATGTGTAATCATTACACTTTTGAAGTAACTAAATGACAATTTTACCCTTAATAAGAAAGATTAATGAATTTCACAATCTCGTAATTAGGGGTACAATTGGAAAGTAGGGACTTGTTTTTGAAAACGGACACTTATTTTGGAACAAACTAGAATTGAAATGTGGATACTTATTTTGGGTATGAAACTTGCCTGTTCAGAACTCGGTTTAGTCAGAGAGAGCAGACCTTGGGCCACAAGAGAACTAAACAAGCCGGAGAGTGCACCCCCCGCTGGAGGGGTTGGAGCAACTGATGGAGGGAATTGAGGAATCTGTTTCAGGGGAAAAGAGGAAGGAGGGGGGCCTGGAGGTAGAGGGGGGAAACCGACACCAAGAAAAGGCATAGAAGATTGCATACCATGAACTGGATTCATAGAAGCACCTCCAGAGGTGTCGAATCTTTGAGGGGTATACCCACGAAACATGGGTTGTATTGTTGTATGTGACGGATTAAAAGCTAAAGCAGGTGGTACCATATTCGATCGAACCTCTTGGGGTAGCGATAAATGAGGTGGGAACTTTGGTCTTTGCTGATTAGAAACCAACCCCGCCTGCTGACTATGCATTTGAGGTAGTTGGTTCGGTACTCTATTTTCATTAACATCAAATGGTTGATGCAAAAACGACACATTTTCATTTGCTGCTGAATTGCCGGTCTTCAACATGTCAAACTGACTCCTAATATGTTTCTTAAAAGGTGGAACTGGTTGAGATGTTTGCATATTCAGTGAGGATCGCCAAGATCCTTTCGATGATGGTATAGAGACCTCCGGATTCATCATATTGACACTTGACGAATTCATTCTAGGTGTCAACGACAAGAGATGATGTGCGTTGGCACGTGGAAAGCTATCGATGAGCGGAGGCCTTTGCCCACGAGGATTGTAATGATGCAGAGTAGCCCAAGGCTGATCATGAGAAAGGTTCCATGATTCTTGTGGATAATGAGAAACTGGATTATCTGATGGCTCGTTGTGAAATCCACTAATCTTCCGCTTTAATCCATGATCAGACTGCAGAATAACAAAGATTACATTCTACACCTAGCATTTACTTTGAACATGATTCAAAAATCAGAAAAGAAATCATTACAGCATGAATATTTAATCATATTTCAGCATGAAAGCTGAATCATTCTGTCATATGACAGATAACATAAGTTTACAATCTCCAAAAGGAAAGAATGGTTGATCTATCCAAGAATACAAGTTAAAAGCAACACAAAACAATATAGATGTATATACATACATACATCCATATATATGTATATCATTGAGCTCGTTTTGAGAAGCCGTCAACAGGACATAACTAAAGCTACAATATAGAGAAATACTATCGATTACTATGTAACTGTAAAACAATATACATGTATAGAGGGAGGTTCACGGGAAAACCCCCAAAAAAATGAAAAACTGAGGAGCACCTTGGTAACCATTCATCTGGACGGTATGCACATGTGCATACAAGCAATTGAAGTTGTTTTTTGGTTTTTATGCACGTCTACATGTTATGCATATGTGCATACCGGACAAATTGCTCACAGATTACTTATATGCACATATGCATACCGTCCAGATAAATGGTTAACAAGGTGTTCCTCAGTTTTTCATTTTTTTTTGCGGTTTTCCCCTGAACCTGACTCTGCATGCATATATATATACACATATAGATACATATATATATATATATATATTACCGAGCTCGTTTTGAGAAGCCGTCAACAGGACATAACGGAAGCTACAATATAGAGGAATACTAATGATTGCTATGTAACTGCAAAGCATCTGGACAATATTCACTCTTCCCATAAGTTCCCATGATACCACGAAAGTAGATGTACAAAAAGAAATGGATTATAATCACTAGATAATGTTGATATTTAAATGCTATTGCAAATGGTAAGCACAATCTTTAACCACAAAATTGAATCGAGTAAAACTGAATCAGCCAGTTGTGTTCCATCTTCAGAACAGGGCAGTTTGGTGCCAGTTTTCAAACCAACAGGTTCACTTCAGTTTGCATCTTTGGTAGAATTGAACCAAACTAAATCAAACCCGGTATTATTAATATTTTGTACGCTTTCGCCAAAATAGGCATATGATATGATTGATGATTTATCGCAAAACCATGGTTATTGATTTGTAAACAAGTTGTAGACTTTTGTATCTTTAAAGTTGGTTGGCATGGTACAATTTTAGGTTAACATTTACAATTTTGGTTGGCATGGTTCCTACAGTGATGCTCTTAAGTGTTTTTCTTTTTATAAACTTCATTATTATTGGAATCTATATTTGCAAATATGAGAATTTTTATTTGTGAAAGAATGATTTAAACCCATTAAAAAATATCAAATCAAACCGAAGTTGAGAGGTTCGATTTGGTTCGGTTAGAGGACCTTTGAATTTGGATTGGCTCCATAAATCCAAAGTCAAGTTAGGGTGGGTTATTTTCCTATAGAGATGCTCTTAAGTGTTTTTCTTTGTATAAACTTCACTTTAATTAACTTCATTATTATTGGAATCCATATTTGCAGATATAAGAATTTTTATTTGTGAAAGAATGATTTAAACCCATGGAAAAATATCAAACCAAACCGAAGTTGAGAGGTTCGATTTGGATCGGTTAGACGACCTTCGAATTTGGATTGGCTTCATAAATCCAAAATCAAGTTAGGGTGGTTTGTTTCAGGTTCTAGCCAAAACAACACAAAACCGAACCACATACGCTCCTAGTGTTTATATATGAAAAGGAAGACATCTGAATAGCTTGATTATGTTCAGAAAGAACATTACCATTAGAATTATTCACAGGTCCAAGAAAATGCCCAGAAAAGAATAGAACATAACAATAAAGGAAATACAAAACCAAAAACTAACCGACGAAACTGCATGGTTAGGGGCAACTGAATGAATCAGCTCCTGGTTAGACCAATTGCCTCTGCTCAAATCAGTCTTTGCAAACGTAGACTGGTTGGCTCGGTAGGCTCCGGGGGCAGGATCAGTAGCAGGACCGCGGTCTACTAACGTGGGACTCATATTTTCCCATTCAAACTCCTCTTCTTCAGTATTCTGCCACGTCTGTCCAGCACTCTTACCACCTAATCCATTTGTAATTAAGTTTTTCGTGTGTTGGAGCTTTGGGTTCGTTGTTTTATTCCTCTCATCTGTTCCATAAGCATCAATCAAGGCCCTGGGTCTCTGAATGTCAAATCCGTTACTTATACAGTGTGAAGCAGTTGTTTCAATCTGTGGCAAGGCGCCATCGGACTGCTGGGGTCTCTGCCAATCACGTAAATCCTCATCTTTGACCGCCATGCCATGAGGTCTACGACCATATTCATGAGATGATGATGTTCCTTCAACAACCTTTTTAGGAGAATCATCCAAAGCAAATTCATCTAGGGATGGTGATGGAGGCCTTGCATGGCCAAGACTGAAAGGATTACGACCCACGTTACTACTTAAATCTAACTTGCGTGATCCAGTATGTGACGACAGTGCCTCCCTACTATCAGATTCATATTCATCAAATCCTGAGGAGGGTTGTTCAAGAATCTCTGAAGTTGAAGTTGCTCTTGCTTGTTGTATTTTCTGCAACGGTTGGAAGAAATGATTATGCAGAATAAAAAGACAAAAATACTGGTAGATAAATTAAATTAAATACTATAAAACAGTTCCTAGAAAAGTTGCAATGAATATCATAAAGGAACTAGAAACTTTTAGCATCCTATCAGAACATCCAACCCCAGACTAAATGAAACGAAATAGGGAGAAAATAAAAGAGAAAAAGATGGTTTTGTGGGACCTCAGTCATGACAGCAGAAACTACGTGATTTAAACGCATATAAACGATAACCTGTTAAAATAGGCCATGTTTATAGCTCACAACTGCAAGCCTGACCAAAGAAAGATTATACCGCTATTTCTAGCATCCTTTATAAAAGCAATATGTGTAAATTTTACATCAGTATTCTATGATGCTAAACAGATAAGGTTGGAAAAAGATTAAAAAATATGGACTAAATCAATAAGATTCACAATGCATATGCCTGTTGGCTTCAGCAGCTAAAAGATTTTTACTATATTTGACACCTTAGAAGTTAATATTATATTACAACCACACTAGTATATACCTAAGAAGCTAATTAAGCTCTACCCATAGACAACTCAGTTATTATTCTACATAAAGTTGAATGCCAATTCACATAACATCGGCCAAGAAAGAAAAAGAGTTCAAACTCAAAGAGCAAACAACATTCAATAGAACACTTGATATACCAAACAGTTAACAACAAATTAGCATCTTGTCAAAAATCTTAAACCAAAAAAACAAACAAATTCGAATCATAAGCTTTCCTCATCCAATCCTCTCATAGAAACATCTTCCAATGAAAATCCAACCGATTAAAAAAGTATTGGATCGAAATATATAATCTGCATTACATACAATATTCAACCAACAACAGAGTAGCCCTTTGCATTGGCCCATTGCAGTGGAAGTCGTCCGTATCAAGTGATATGTGAATTGCTCAGTAGTGCTTCGCCACTACCGTAGCTGGCGGAAATAGCTTAATTGGTAGAGCCCAACAATGCATGAGGGAGAATGGGTTCTCAAATGTTGGAAGGAATTTCCTCGAAGTTAGCATTACCTTTTAGCGTAGTAACCCAGATCTTTAAACAGGAGTTTAGTTGTAACCTTCGGATTTTTTGTGAAAATTGTCCTGGTGGACTATAAAATATTTCCATAATTGCTAGGACTACAGACCTTCTATTTTATACTACAATAGACATGCTGTTATACCTTCGGAGGGAGAGAGTAGAAAAAAAGAAAAATAATGAAATGAGAAAAAGGAAGACACATAAAGTACTAACACACACATATTAAACAGCTTGAAACCAACTTCTTTTCTCTTATTAAAACCCTGAAGAAGATCCAAGCCCATGATTCCTTTCCACTTTTCAATATAAACCCCAATAGCCTAGTGAACCAGAAACCGTAGGAGTTTTGCTCAGCAGTTTTTGAAATCATAATCCAGTTATAACTTATATTTTAAACCCTTCAATACATCACACAAAAGCTAACATATTCTGCACACATACAACCAGCACCAAGCCAAAGCCAAAAATAAAAATAAATAAAACCAGGCGTAAACATATAAGAGATGAATTAGTATTCAATATAATATTTGATGACAATCTTTCCTAGATATATTCTTTTATCACATTCTTAAAGTAAAAAAAACATACTAGAAGCTACTTACACAGACACAAAGTTGTCAGAATGGGGAATCTAAAAGATAAACTGCTGAGAGAAAGATGGTGGTGTTCCATCAAGAAGCTTACACTATCTGTAGTTGAGTTTTCAAATTGACGTCTTGCTTCCAAGTACTTTGGATTGACATGTATACCATGAGCTGGCCGTGGAGATTCAGAAGCTTTTAAACCCGAAGATTGATGACTTGCTGAGGGAGAAAACTGTAGTTGAGCTTCAATCTTGCAAAGAACAGAAGATGGGAATACAGTTGACCAGGTGCCAAAAAGATGGCGCATGGAAGGATGCATATTTGGGTGGATTTGCCTGTATGCCAAACAATAGACCTGAAAGAATAATCATCAGAAAGTATAATCACCTATCTGGAAAAGAATGCCTTTTACAAAGTGTAGCAGCACAAAAATTTAACCCACTAACCTCAGGCAAACGAGCAGAAAAGTGCCTCACGTAATCTCTACCGATATTTTTGACAATACTATCAAGAAGATATAGAGAAGGAAGTTTTTGCTCAACTGGAACCTAAAAAGCAATTGGAAAACAATATCAAACTAATTTCTAAAAATGAGAATAAGATGTCCATGCAAAAGTTGCATGAGTTGACAACCAAACGAATGGCTCATAAAGAAGTAAGCATACAAGCATCAAGAGTTCAAGATTTATGTTCAAACCTAAAGCTTATGATGGCATAACCATATCCATCAAGCTCACGCTGCTGATTGTAAAGTGTATGATATTTTGTCTTGATTTATTTAGTGTAACATAGAAACTTTGATATATAACTGCATATACAGTTCAATTTTGGGGGCTATACCTCCCCTATGTACCTTTAGTCTTGTACTCTGACCTATAAACGATCGTTGTTAAGAGATAACCATGTAAAGCAATCTTGAACATTGCTGGCTCACTCATTTGGCATAAGACCTCCAAGAAACTTAACACCATAAACATATGCCATAAAGTTGGGAAAAGAAATGGAAGCTAAAAGATGGAGAAAGTTTTTCATAGTTGCAAACCTGACTATCATAGATAACTAAGGGTCTTTTTGTTAGCAGCTTATTCAGTCAGCAATACAATACTGTTTGCTAGAGGCTTAATGATATAGAAAGTGGCTTATTCATTAAGCTTTTAGGGGTAAGCTTTATGCAGAAAGCCAAATTTCCAAACTTGTTTTTTCCAATTAAAAAAACGCGCTCCTTCCATCTATGAAAAACCTCTCCCAAACAAAAATCTCTCCAATTTATATAGACTGATTAATGCATACAGACAGCTTTATCCATACAGAACTTTAATGAGAAACCAACCAAGCAGCCCCTAATACAATGGTAATCGGTAAGCACAACACAGGGACACATGTAGAAATTAGAATAAAACACTTAGGAATAGACCAGCTTGTGTGCACGCATTTCTCTGCTACTTGTCTCACTAATATCCTCGTAACTTTTGTTGTGCAAGCCAGGTCTTTACCGGAACACCTATTTACCCTTTTGGGTAAAGTCTGCATAAGTACAGTAAGATTTACGTGCATCCTACCCCAGACCCTTGGTTCATTTGGTATTGGTTTGGTTTATTTGGAACTAGACCATGGGAATAGCAGCACTGCTTGTCAAATCAAGTCAAGGATGGAACAAACTACAGTAATCACATCTTAACCCATAATGAGAATCACACAAAGACCAACAGCAAAACTCAAAGTTTGCCTCTTTGGGCAATATATATAATGGTGTCACATCAACCCATGGGGAAACTAATACTATCACCAATAAGTCGATAACACAATCAACATATCACGAATACTAGCACAAAGTGTTCAATGACAAAATAAAGTGCATTTTTAATACAGTTTAAACTAACAAAAGTTTCTACTCCGATCGTTTGTGCAACATGATTCATGACGTTTCAAACACAATGAATTTCGGCATTAATCACCAATAAGAAAGCCGGTCTTCAATACGGTAGAACCTTATAGAACTAACCCTAACAGAACTCCCTGAAATCCCATAAACAAATAAAACATAAATACCTCGATAATTCTTGCACAAATGGCGTCCGCAATGCCACCACCATGTTCTCTCTGCTCTCCAGCGATTATCGTGAGATCAGTAATGAGCGGTTTCGAATTGATAGTCAACTCCGACAAAACAATTTCATATAACTCAACAATTTCTTCACTACTCGGCGACGGAATCTCAATCTCGTCATGTCGTCCACTAGAAACCCTAATATCTTCCTCTCGTTCCTTCAACAAACCCTTGAATCGATCACAAATCGGAGTTAGTGACTTCTGATTACAGTTATTAGCCAACGGGAGAACCGAATCATTGTGTGACGGCCTGAACCCAATACTTCTACTAGTCAGAAAACTGGTACCCTCCATTGGTGTTGCTTGGTCGGTGTTGAAAATTGAAATTGATAGTGGAAAGGGGTAGTGAGTTAGGGTTTGTTTGAGGGTTTTGATGAAGCTTTTTAAGAGTTTTTGAGTTAATGGCTTCCAGATATTGAGGGGGAGAGAGACTCTGCGTTTCGGGAGGGGATGGATGTGCGCATCATGTAAAAGATGTAAATAAATATTCATCGATACATGGAAACACATTATATATAACTATTCGAACAATGTAGCGGGAGCCATAAATTTTAACAATTTTAAAGTTTCATTGGTTTTATTAAAAAAGATTTAAGGGGTGTTTGGGATTGCTTATAAAAACTGTTTTTTAACTTATTTCAATCTAGCATCGGTGATAAGCTTTTTCTGGTGTTTGGATAAGAAAAAAAAACTGTTTATACCCGGTAATAAGCTGTTTTTGATAAGTTAATCATTCCTGACTTATGAAAAACTGTTTATTACCAGTTTACAATTTTAACCCTGTTTTATTTAACTCTGATTTGATACCACATAAGTTAATAAGCACTTTTACAAAAAAAAAAACATAAGTTGTTTTAAATAAGCAATCTCAAACACCCCCTTAACGATAATATAAGTTACACTTAGTGTTTACATATTAATACAATTTGAATAAATAAGAGTTATGGTTCCAATTACAACCTAAAAATATAATAATATGCATTGGTAACTTGCACGATATGTTATTTTAATTGTAGATTAAGATATTTTAATACTGAATGCATAAAATAGTAATATTTAATGCATTATGAGTTATTTTTAAGACTTTGTGCATAAATGTATAGTACTTTGTGCATTAAAAATTATTTTTAAGACTTTTGATAGATATGGTTTATAAAGTCGTATAGATATAGATTATTATTATTATTATTATAGAGGCGGGATCGGTTGAAAACCGCTTAATTCTTAGAAACTGTGTAAACTGATCTCGACCAATAGAAAAATTCTTTTTTTTTAAAATTAAATTTAATCATTAAGGATAGAATTGTCATTTACATTGTTTTTTATTAAATATGAAAGTTACTAAAATATCTTAATTAATGTAATGTAATAAATGAAATGTTAGAAATGGTAATATTTTAATCTTTATTTAATTTAGTATTTTAAAATTTAAATATGGTTATTTGTTTTCTAGGTTTATTAGTAGTAAGAATATAAAAGTCGAAAATTATTACATTCATGAACCGGTAAAAATATATTCATCTGTGAAACAGATTCATGTTTAGATGGTTCGTGAAAACGTTCATTGAGGAGCTTGTTTTATGAAATTTTTGGGGATGAACTGGTTGTGTAATATAATATTCTTGGATAATCTTGTTTTCTTATCAACAATTATTTTATGAAATTGTTTCATTTTGTTTTAATTATTTTTTTGTGATGATTTTGTTCACTTAATGGTTAATAAAGCATGTAATAGTAAATGCATTGACTCTATGAAACGTGTTCGGATTGAAAAAAATTTGTCGATGAAATGGATGCATAAAGAGAGTGAAACCATTTCATAATTGTTAAGAAAATGTTGTGTGATTAGCGAACAATGAAACAATTTCATTATCACAATGAAACGTATCCATCTATCAATAACATGAAAATGACAATGGTCTCATCTAGCATTACATTGATTATTGTATTGATGAAACTATGAAACGTATTTGGATTGCAAAAGCTTTGTCGATGAAATGGGAGCATAACGACAGAGAAACCATTTCATAATTGTTAAAAACATGTTGTTTAATTAGCAAACGGTGAAACTATTTCATAATTAGATTGAAACGGATCCATCTACCGGAAACTTGAAAATGACAAATGTCTCATCTAGCATTACGTTGATTTGTGTATTGATGAAACTGTGAAACCATTTCGTTCATAAAATGTAGTAGTAAATTTGTTATTATTATTATTATTCAAAAGGTTTCGGTATGTTAAATTGATTATAGTGTTTTATTTTTATTGTTGATCTATTTTAATAATGAAAGTTATTTTTTTATAATATTTGAACATAAAATTAATATATTATTTTACAAATGATTTTGTTTAATTAATATTACGATATACATGATATAATTGTCATTAATATTACCATTACCAAAGTTATCATTTTGCATTTTTGGGATTATAAAATAAATTTTTATTTTATATATTTTTTTAATTTTCTAATATAACCTAAACTAATCTTGACTATTGATCAATAAAATGAATGGATGAGATTGATTTACATGGTTTACACAAATGAGGCGGTTTTAATTTGATCGTGCATCTATTATTATATTAATGATACATTCATACTTATTTTTACTATAAGGGTACTCGCACAATGCAGCGAGATATATCTCGGTTTTAATGTTTCATTTTATTCATTTTCTCCGTCAATATAATACGGTTTTTACGTGGATTTAGAAAATGATAATGTTTTTATATTGAACAAAATATAAATTTGAAAAAAAAATATAGATATTAGTATTAAATTAACTATTTAAAAGTTTTCATTTTCTGTGTAATTTTTTTAATTCAATTTTTTATTATAATTTAATTTAGATTTAATAATAAAGTAATTT